AGTGGCAATAACTAATAAAGCTCGTTTTTTTTTTTACCTGTCCGTGTGGATTAGCGTGCCTTGTAGCCCACGTGTAATGAGGCTGATATGCACCCATGGCAATTTCGGTGTCCCTCGTCCCTTCTAGAGATCGTTGGTTTATGTTAGCCGAGCCCAATATGACAAACTCATCGTCAACTATCATTCCCTTTGAGTGTACGTAGATCATGAAGCGCCTGTTTTTCCGAGTGAGTGCCTGAAAAGAACAACAAATTACGAAATTCAAAAGTCGATTCACACAGCAAGCCAAAAGACAAAAAATCGTACGTATGAAAGCAGGAGAGATTATAAAGAGAGTGTGTACTTGGGGAGTGTTTCCAGCCGGGCCTTTCAGTTCGGGCTTGCTTATGCCGCCTTCAGTTTCGCGATTACCGAGACAAAAGAAATTTAAGTAATCGCTCGGTTCATACTCGTTTTCTAGCCCCATTTCCTGCAAAGCCTTGTAGATCGTCTCGTACATCATTTGCATTGTGTTGTACTGCACAAAAATAAATAAATAAATAAATAAATAACGTCTATTTTTCTTTCGGGCACCCAACAAAAAAAAAAAAAAAAAAAAAAAAAAAAAAAACAAATTGATCCGCAAAAATAACTGGTAAATGGTCACAAAAAAATACTCGCGAGACCCTTCTGCATATTCCATATTGTTTCCACAAAGAACATCAATCAACACTCTTTTTTATTAGAGGAAGTTTAAGAAGTCGATTTTTACCTGCCAAAAGAGTATTCTTTGAGTAGGAGTACTGGTCGGGGCTCCCTCTGGCCACATAGGAATAACAATGTATACAGAGAACCTTTCCCTTGCTCTAATTTTAGACGCAATTTTAAGTGCAATTTCCATTGGTATTAAATTGTTTGCACCTAGAAAATGGAAAGAAGATTCACCATCATAAATTTGTTTTCTTTCTAAACAACCTCATCAAGAGTATAAAGTTCTTACCCAAATCCCGATAATTAGACCAGTTGAATGACGACCCGAGGAAGTACTGGTTTTCAATGTAAATGAAATGTTGTGCTGCCCGAATGGCCTTTACATATGCAGTATGTATACTCATGTCTATTAGAACATTTTTCCCACATACAAGATTCTGTTTTGATTGCACCAAAAAGTTATTTTCAAGTCATTTGTTGCCATAAAAATTCGAGACCTCTAGAAAAAAGAAAGTAAGACACAGATACTTTACCCTGTTTGGAGCCTCTCTTGAATCCTTCGGGAAGCCTTTGACAGAATTTGAGTCGATCGAGCGGAAAACCTTCACAGTGCAGACAGTTTAGTTTAGCTCCAAAACAATGGGAAAAGATTTTTTTTATTTTATTTATTTTTTTATTTTTAACACGTCTCTTTCGTACCTGAACATGCCAACCCTCTGGATCGCCTTCTCCATGGGCAGCAACTTCAGCTAATCCCATCACTTCAGGGATTCTTTCGAGCCTGAGTAAAGAATCATCGTACGAGGCTTTCATTTTCTGAAGTCCGTGTCGTTTTGAGGTCTTTAACCAACGCTCTTCAAAATTTGTCAGGACATCATATGCAGCTGGACCATCTATTTTACAGTGCAAATCATGCCATGGCTCTCTTGGACAACCATCGATGGGCGTGGGCCCCTGTTCAGTTATAAATAAAACCAATATATACGAGACACAGAAAGAAAGCGCCATATTTTAAGCTTGTTTTTTCGTTTCTATAATAAATTATGAGCTTAAAATTCGAGTGTTTCAACTTTCAAGTTAAAATGGTTGTTTTCTTCGGTGTGATCATGATTAACATGAATAGCAGAGGGAAAAAAATCAAACAAAAACAAAAAACAAATGAATTACCGTGAAATTAGGATTATGAAAATCATCCTTGTGAACGGTTTCTAATGTGCTGAAAATCGAGTGCTTTGGGGTATCATATCTTCCCACACACAGGTCAAGGCCCCCGACAAACGCGACAATCTTTCTCCTAAAATTGCCGGCATCTGCATCTACTATCACACTTTTCTGATGATGAGTATAGATTGTTCCAGTTTCCTGTTAATCATGTGGAGAAAGAAATATTTGAAGTGGACAATATTCCTTGCGAATCCAAGAGAAAAATGGATTGATAGGACAAATCACACTCCCAAACAAAACGAAAAGGAAATAAAATAAGAAGTATCAAAAATATCTGAACTTTCGTCTCGAGTTATGTAAATCTAACCTGCTTCTTGACCCAGCTGCCTTTGCCAGCAGAGCGTGGACACAATAACACCTGGACAGATGAATGTTTGAAAAATCGGCGAGTTGCCTCATCACCTGTATTCATTACGCCTTCCTGAATCGTGATACAATGCAGAAATATGTCCATGTAAGAACTTTTCTTCATAGCTTAACAAGAAAAATAGGATTTGAAACATAAGGGAAAGATCTATAGCTAGATCAAAGCTGATAATAAGACGTTTTCGCAGCATAATAGTCAATCCAAAGTCAGCTAAACAAACTGAAGTGACTTATGTTTACTCATAACCGTCACAAGGCAACAAGAAATACACATGTCATAACTTGCACGGAAAGTAACCACAAAAACTCGATATGCCTTGCATTTTTCAACAGAGGAGGTTTAACTTTAATCTAACCCCACACATAAAAAAAAGCACGTCAACTTCTCAAAGAACGATTTTTCTTACGGTTTTTAATCCCAATATGCTCCTAGAAGTCGGGTCATCCCAAACCAAAAGCAGCACGCGAACACCCTCTTGAGACTTCACCTTCAAAAGCTCCCCCAACCTACTTTCCCCAATGCTAGGCTCATCATCTCTCACCAGCCGAACCAAGTGATAAACCGACCAACCCGTGATATAAACCAACTTCCGAGCCTCACTAATCGCATCGTAAATATCACGCCAGCATTTTCCATGCTCATACACTCTCCCATTAGCTAACCACAAATTCGGAAGCAAACCATCGTAAATATGCGCGTCTTGATAAAGCGTGACTTTCCCCCCTCTCCGCATAGGAAAGTAAGTCCCGGGCACTCCCCCCGACAAACCGCGATATAGATTAACACTATTCATCGGTATATACTGAATAGAAATACTCAAGACAGCCCCTTTATTGCACGGTTTTCCATTCGGGCCAAGAATCGGGTACGTGCCCTCGATTTTCGAGCCGGAAATAATCTGCTCGACTGGAATTCCAACAGCCCCCATGATCTGAGACCCCACAATATCACTGTCTTTGACCACGAAATGAACCTCCGAGCCATAATGGGCAACCGGGACATGAAAGTGCTGGGCCCAAACAGGGTTTTCGCTGTTGCTGATCACAAAGGTTCGGCCCAAAACAGCGTTCGACACGGAAATCGTGACATAAGGGTCGCTCGTGACTTTGCTGCCGGGAGTTATCCGTTCTGTTTTGCTGAAGAGCTTCCCGAACATTTCGCCTAAGTTCTTGTGGAATAAATCCATGTTTGGGAGGTTTTTGGCCTCCTTGACCCAGATGTCTAGATTTCCGTGCAGCAGTAGAATTTGGAGTGAGCCTGCCGAGGTCTTGATGGGCACGAACTGAACGCCTTGGCCGTGGTGGGACCCGCCAGAGATTGAGTCGGAGTAAGATAAGTGGGCCATGCTTGTGATTTTCAGCACTAAATGGGATTTAGGGGAAAAAAAAGGTAAGCAAGGACAAAAGAGATTGCAGTATTGCACAAATGGAAGTCATAAAAGGCATCTTATTTCCGTTTTTGCATAAGTCTGGTAATAAATGATAAGCACACAATGAAAAACTTGTGACGACGAGAAGTTGAACATTAGAAAAGTCGAGAAAATGCTTGTTTTTTCAG